CCAAAAGATTTCCAAGATGGTCCCAAGTTTAGATTCCCTATATCCAGTGACCAATCCGACAGCTGCCTCTGGGAAAATAGAAGTGGATTCCAAAGAGCAGTTCTCTTCCTTTAGTTGTGAAGAACAGAAGAAAGGCCGAGATCTGCCCCAGTGCAGTAATTCAAATGCTGCCCCAGGCAAAAGTCCAGGAAATCTCACTACCTCGAGAGCCCCTTGTTTCTCATCTCCAAATGTGATCTCCTTGGGTCCTGATCAGACAGGCCGGGCCCCGGGTGATCAGAACAGTGCTGGAGGTCAAGGGAAGAAGCTCTTTGGCTCTAGAAATTTGGCTGCAACCCTTCAGTGCCCCAAGCCTGTGGCGCCAGTGCCGCTGCCCGCTGATGCCCCTCCTGGTTTTCCCAGTAGGAAGTTGGGGCCAAGTAAAAACTCTGTGCCTGGTGGGGTGCAGACTGCCAGGGAAGACTGGGCTCCAAAGACACCACCTGCCTCTGTTGGCAGCATCAAGAGTGAAAAGACATTTGTGGGGGCGCCTCTCAAGGCAAATGCAGAGAACAGAAATGAAGCTGGACCCGGTCCTCGGGATCTGGTGGATCACTTGCAAGCGATGCCCTTTGTCCTTGACCTGCCCTTCTGGAAATTGCCTCGAGAGCCTGGGAAAGGGCTCAGTCAACCTCTGGAGCCTTCGTCTATCCCCTCCCAACTCAACATTAAACAGGCATTTTATGGGAAGCTTTCTAAACTCCAGCTAAGTTCCACCAGCTTTAATTATTCCTCCAGCTCCCCAGCCTTTCCCAAAGGCCTTGCTGGAAGTGTGGTGCAGCTGAGCCACAAAGCAAACTTTGGTGCGAACCACAGTGCATCACTTTCCTTGCAAATGTTCACCGACAGCAGCACAGTGGAAAGCATCTCGCTCCAGTGTGCATGCAGCCTGAAAGCCATGATCATGTGCCAGGGCTGTGGTGCGTTCTGTCATGACGACTGTATTGGACCCTCCAAGCTCTGTGTATTGTGCCTTGTGGTAAGATAATAAATTATGGCCATGGGAAAAGTTGTATATTTAGTGTGTGTATTTTGATAATGATTGATCTTAAGTCTGTATACAGAATATCATTGATACAGTAGACTGTCTCTTCAGGCAGGAGCACTCTTGCCTCTCCCTAACATTTATAGTGCTAAAGGCCTCTGTCACTTAGCAACTTTCCTGTCGTGCTGGAGGGGCTTTCCACAGGGCAACTTGTTGAGCTGCAACTGGCCAGCTGAGCCCTCATGTAGACAGAGCCTGGTGAGGTGTAGGGGGCCTGCCTGACACCCAGAGGGACTTGAAATTGAAGAAAGAAGGTTGTTTTCCACACAGGGAACAAACCTACCTGAACTAAGTAGAAATGTCAGTCTTCCGCCGCCCCCTCCCTGCCACCTTTCCTCCTGCTATTCTGGGGAGGTGATGGTTGGGGAAGAACCAGCACAGGGTTAAGGTAACTCCCAGCAGTGCCCACCAGGGGGCTCAAGTACCTGCTGACCTCAGGGTCACAGTTCATTCTGATGCCAGTTGATGGATTTTTAACCTTTGGTTCTGTTGCTGAAGCAAATATGGGACTTTGCTGACTCATTACAACCCACTGGCCCACAGGAGCTTTTGGAACCTTTGAATAGACCTGCTTGGACAATAGGGTTGAGCATAAGGTCATCTATCTGAAAATCCCACCTGTAGACCTTGTCAGTCACATGTCCAGATGTTTGGCAGGTGAATGCCTCTGCCTGACACCTTCCCGGTCACTTTGGACTCATGGGAGCGGGCATCTCCACACACCTATGTATGTGAAAAATCATTTTACATTTCAAAGCAGTGTGTGTTTCTTATTTTTATATTTTTAACTCTATCCTTGGATGTATAAAGTGAATTTTTTGGCTTCTGTAAGTATGCTCTATGCACCTCTAATGTTTTATCATGTATTTATATGTTGTACACAGTACTGGCCGATTCTGTAAATGGATGTATTATATAGACAACACGAACGTCTCTCCCTTACTTTACGTTTTGGGCATCATTGCATTAAAGTGGTGTAATAGACTTCTCTCCACCTGTGTCAGAGCCACTGCATGCTGTGCTGCCCAACTTGAGTGATTAACTTGTGATCTGCCAGGTTGGCCCGGTGCCCTGTCACAGTGCACCCGGGGGACCTGCTGCAGCCTGCAGAGCCAGTCAGCCTGCCTGTCCGCTGCTGAGCAAATGCATCTTGCTCCTCACATCTCTTCTCCAACCTTCACTGGCTGCTCACTGCCATATGTGACAAATCACCACCACCAGTGTTAAGTGCTTCTGAACTCGAGGGTGAGTGCCCTGGGCAGCCCCAGGTGGGCCTTCTAGACCTGGCTCCAGGGCCACTGTCAGCAATACCTGGGACCATGTTCTCCTGGGGCCATAGAGCTCCTTTTGACAGCAGGTTGGGGAAGAAACAGGCAGGCCTGCTGCCTGCCTCTCTCCCAACACATTTCTAACAAATAGATGTCTCCATAGTTGTCTTTCCTCACCCTGCTTCCTGCCTTATTTCTTGTACCTCAACTTGTTGCAGAGTTGAGTCCTTGTTTAACTCCAGTCTCCCTGTGTGAGTGCTTATGTGTGAAGTATAAAATCGGTATGACTTCAGCAGATCTCATTTCATCTGAGAGGTCTTCCCCTTCCCATTTCATCCAGTGTGGCATTTTTGTCATCTGAAGCATGAGTGAGAAGTTGGCAGTGATGTGGTGATTTAAATGCAGTATTGGCCAAGTCCAAGTTGTCAACTTTAAGAGTCTGTTTACCAAAGACAGGGAGCAGAGGCCCAAGCGTGTTTGATCCTCTTCTTCCTTCTGTTGTGACCTTTGAGGCCACTCTAGGGTCTAGTCCATGGGGCTGCCCAGAGAAAGCGCTGCTCTTGTATGTCTCCTGTGGTTTTGGAAAAATAAACCTGTACAACCTGCACTCGGTCTCTGTCATCTTCTGTGGCTCCCCACCCCCTCCCGGTGGGAAGGAAGGTTCAGCTGGAGTGTAGAAGCTGCTTTGAAGGAGCAAATGTCAGCTCCCTCCCCTCGGCTGGAGCTCATGTGGTGTCAGGAGCTCCTTTGTGAGGTGAGACTTAGAGGCATAACTTGTCAATTTCACTCTTTAGACGGCGTGACTTGGCAAACTTTGGCACTGTGCACTGGAAGCGGAAATTAATGCAAGTGGTGAGGATGCTCATCTCCACTGCTTCACTGAGCCTGAGATTGCTCGAGAGCTTCCTAATGGCTGATGATCTGTGGGAGGGTGAACAGTTCTGACCTTGAAAAGCCATAAACATGGGCATCTGCGCAGCAGCAGGCAGCAGTGAGGGAGGTGCTGCCTGCAGACCGAGGCTGAGTGGCTTCCAGCCTGCAGGGGTTGACTTCAGTCCTCAGACCTACTGGAGTACTTAAATATGTGATTTTGTGCTTCGTAGGATCTATCTTAGTATCTAAATATGCCAAGAGTAAAAAAAAAAAAAATAACCCAACATGATGGGAAGTAAAGGTGAACTAAAAGAAGGATCCGTTGACTTGTTTCCTATGAGTTGGAGAAAATAGACTGTGTGGTGGGATCCCTTGGGGCCAGTTCAAGCTGCAACTTTGTGGTGCTGCAGGTGCAGTTGGAGAAGTTACGGTCGGGCTCCATGGGCAGCCACCCAGTGGTGAAGATGTGTCCGTGTACCTTCATGTGATAGGATCTGTGCACGTAGTCTGCAGGAGTTTAGAATGCATTAGGGGCCAGAGTTGCATCTCATTAACGAGGCAGAATAGTGCGGTGGATTATAGTACAGGCCCTGCTGCTTGCCCACACTGTGATTGCCAGTTACTCGGCCTCTGCCAACTTTTCCATCTGAATGGGGATGGTAGCTCCTACTTCATAAAGTTATTAGGGCCTGGCACATAGTAAGTACTCCAGACAGTTAAATGCACCAAGCCAGGCAATCACTACATGAATTTATAATAGGATCTATATGGCTCTTGCTTGACCCTCACCCCAGAGGGGAGCTGTGGAGGTGCGGGCCTGTGAGTGGACATCTGGCTCGTGGCCTCATGCTATCGTTGAATACACAGCACCGTGTTTAGAGATGGAGTGCTTGGTAGTGGAGACGTTTCCTTCAGAGGACAAGGAAACCTGATGTTTCAGAATATGAAAACCTCAGTGGCCTTTTTGAGGTGTCATTAGCTTTATGTCCAACCTGCTCTTTAGAAAGACCCTGCCTGAGGGGTGTGTGTGCTTCACAGAGTAGCCCTCCTGCATCAGGGGCTTTAGGGGCCAAGCATCTGCCTGCCCTGTGCCCTGAGAGGAGGAGGCACAGGCTGTGTTGCCCTCCTGTATGGGCGCCGTTTAAAGTGACAAGGTGGGCTTTATGACCTTAGAGATTAACACTTTGTACGCCATTACTGTCTATAGATGCAATCAAATTCAAAATACCGTGGTGTGTGGGGATGGTTTTTGATTTGGACATGTGGCAGTTAACTGGTTAGTAGTTGAAACCAAACCTTGATAGTGTCTAATGCTTCCTCTCATCTCTATGGATCAATTTGTTGATTTTATTTTTTTTTTAATGTATTTTTATTGATTTCAGAGAGGAAGAGAGAGAGACATCACTGATGAGAGAGAATCATTGATCGGCTGCCTCCAGCACACCCCCCACTGAGGATCGAGCCCACAACCTGGGCATGTGCCCTTGACCGGAATTGAACCCGGGACCCTTTAGTCTGCAGGTTGACGCTCTATCCACTGAGCCAAACCAGCTAGGGCTCTATGGATCAATTTGAAAGCCTGGAATGAATGTCTCTACCAAAAGGTGTAGACAGAAGCTGTATAAGGAAAAGGAGAGCCTGGCCTTTGTGGTTCAGTGGTTAAGCATTGACCCATGAACCAAGTCATGATTGGATTCCTGGCCTGGGTTTCAGGCTCCATCCCCAATAGGAGGCGTGCAGGAGGCAGCCGATCAATGATTCTCTTCATTGATTTATCTACTTCTCCTTTCCTCTCTGAAATCAATAAAAATAAATTTTTTTTAAAGGAGAGTAACAAAAAGCTGCCAGTGCAGTGGCTCTTGGCCTTTATGGGAACACGATAGAAGCCTGATGGAAGGTCTGGGCCCTCTCTCCAGGAATGCGCGTTCACACTGAGCTGTAAGTTGTGTGCACTGTTTCAGGGTGCAAGAGCTCCTTAGGCATCTGGGGCCTCTCATTTAAGAGCCTCTGACTGATGATAAACCTAATCTGAGTTTATTCAAAAGATCAAGGAGGGGAGAGATGACTTAAGTTTCGGTAACTACTAACCTTCCGTAGTACATTTTAAAGTACTTAAATTTTTTTTACTTGTCAAGGTTTGTTATGCTGCTTTAAGTGAAGTCCCATTATAATTGTCTCCATGTATCCGGGCTCTACAAATGAAAGATCTTTGTTTTTAATATTTCTTGAAGTGAGCCAGAAACCAGGACTTGAAGGTGTTCCCTTTACCTAGTTTGGGCTGTGATGGTATATTTATGTATGATAGGATTTAGCTAGCATTTCTGGGAACTGGAATTTATTTACTGTACGACGTCATGAAACACAATCTAAATTCAGATCTCTAAAAGGTCAGAATTGAAAATAAAACCATTGCCACTTCTGTTGTGTACACTGGTTTCCTAAGTTTACCAGCCTTTGTGACGTTTGCAACCACACCGGTTTTGTACTCTCAAAACGGAGTTCTCTTCCTTTCTTTTGTATAATTTGGGTAAATGGCCAGCAAGAGGTCAGTGTGTTAGGTGAACCACAGTGTTGCTCCAGGTTTCCTTCCCTGTAGTGCATGCATGTCTTCCCTGTCCACAGAGTGGAGTGAGGATCCCTGTTTGGTCACTGTGTATCTGCTTTCCCTGCTCTAAGGGGCATTCCCATTTGATGTCCTGGACATTGTTGACAGCCGTGGTGGGGAGCTCCATTAAAGAAGCCAGCCGGGGATCCAGCAGTGCCTCTCTGTTCTCCAGCACCTTCTCCGGTCCCAGGATACCAGTGCTCCCGCGGAGCTGTGGCTTCATCCGAGGTAAGTGCTGTCCCGGTCGACCAGTTGGTTGTGTGTGGCTGGTCTGGATTCTGTAGATATTGTCCTGGTTGTTGGGGTGTGTGGTCCCTTGGTGATTCTCAGCAGCGGTGGATTCAGTAGGACAGACCTTTTCATGGTAGTACTGAGGATTTGCTGCCCATGGTCCCCACGTGCACGTGGAAAGATAGGGTGCTGAGAGGTTCCCTGCTTCGGCTGTTCTTACTACTATTGGTCTGAATCTTAGCCCCAAAGTGCACTCCTGGGGTGTTCAAACGATTGGCTCCTCTCTTTTTATTTTATGTATTTGGCAGTTGCACAGAATTTCTATTTTAAAAAGATTATTCTGCCGTGACGAAAAATAAATGTTTTGAAAACAACTTCCATATTGTGTGACAGGCACAATTTTAACAGTAAAACATGTTTATGCATTTAACTCGGTCAAATTTGTTTTTAAACTCATGACAACCAGTTTTGTTCCTACCCATATTCCTATAAGTTTTCCTTTAAAGTTTAACCTAAATGATAATGTATAGGATGAAAAAAGTAAGTGTACAAGTAGACGTCTTTGGAAAAAGCAGCCTTTTTGTTCCCTTCAAAGCGGGATCTGGGGTTTGGGGTCGAGTGGAATGTCAAGTAGTGAAGATTCAGGGCCAGGGATGGCATTTCCTGTTTCCCAAGCTTTGGTTCTGATGGTTGAAGAGCTGCACACTGGGGAGTGGGATGGGCACGGTTTACAGGCAAACAGTTGAGTTCAGACCTGGCTTGGCCACTAGCTGAATTTAGGTGAGGTAGCCCCCAGTGCGCCCCTGCTGACTCATCTGCAAGTGGAGGCAAGGGCACCTCTCTGGGAAGGTCACGGTGAGGTTTCAACATGGTGCCCACAGGCGCTTGGCAAGCACCAGGGAAGATGCATTTCCTTCCCTTTCTAGCGGGCTAGGTGCCGAAGGGCATGACACATTTACCAAGGACCTTCCGTGTGCTCGCTGCTGGGCCGAGCAAAGGTGGAATCTACTAGTGGAAAGGTGTTTCAGTGCCCAGCTAGGTTTGGAAGAGGTCTAGCTGGCAGTGTGGCTGTTGAAGAGGACAAGTGGAAAGAACACATTCAGTTTGTTATTCAGTGTTTATTAAGTAGATTCAGTCTTATATATGATATACAGATTCAAAAGAAAAAGGATTCCACATACTTATGAAATCAGTGCATTTAGCAAGTAATACCATGGAGAAACAGCTTGATTAACAGCTCATTGGTCTTTTGTTAAGTGAGGGGAGAGGGAGTTGGCCTGTGCTAGTCATTCCACAAACAAAACAGAATTTAGTTGCATCACATAGAGAAGACACAGTCTAAGAATTAAAATATTGAGCCACATTTACTGGAAAAACTCACTATACAGAACACAAAGAATTTTTATAGAGCATTGAAGAGGAAGTTCTCACCTGCTTAGAAGAGCCACGTTAAGTTGCATAGGTGCATATCTGTAAAAATATAATTTAGAGGTGAAGCCACTGATTAAGTAATAAAGAGTCACCTTTAAAAGTTGGTGCCATCCACTGTTTGCCTTAAGTGCCATATGCTTATCGTCTGGAGCCCTCTGCCCCTCGCCAGAGGTGATGTCTCCAGGGGAACCTTGAAGACAAGCTCATCCCATCTGCACTGGAGACTCTTAAAGTCTCGCCCAGGTAGGGAACTCGCGCTCTCCCAGAACCTGTCTGAGTGATGCCAGAGGACTGAGGACAACCTGCCCACCCCAGGCTGCTGGGAGAACTATCCACTCACCACTTTGCAGCCAAGTCCTGCTTCATTGCTCACCTGCCCGTGCAGTCACCCACCAATGGTGTGGGAGGTCTCTGTCCCGACCCTGCTTCTAAATGGACCACATACAGACGCACGTGGGCCATCTACTTGCACAGAGATTTTTCTGAGCTTAGAGAAGTGTTTTTCAGTAAATCCGAGTTCTGTGTGTTGTAGGTTTTTTTGTTTTTGTTTTTAGGTGGAAACAGGTAAAAAGTGAGAGGTTTTTGTTTTGTGGCTTTGCTAAGCAGATGAGCTTAGTGAGGTGCACCTTCCTCCTCAAGAGCGAGTCTTGCAGAACACACAGGGACTGGGGCATCTGTACATGTAAACAGTACACTTTCACTGAGTCCAAAATTAGGAGCAAAAATACAAAGGTTCACATTGGTCTTAGGTAGATACAGGCGAAAAAGGATTGAGCTGTTTAGCCCAGAAACAACAAAAACAAAGTTTCTAAAGCACCACTAAATTATATAAAAATCAGACCATGGACGGATTGAAACTGGTATTCTGGTGAAATACTTTACTATCTTGTAAAAAGTTTTACAAAAAATTACAAATTAAATGTATCAACCCTCTGAGTTCAAAGCAGCATTTTGAAAATGAACTGGTAGTTAATCCTGTAACCACCCCTGGAGTCGTAAGTGGCCCTTGGGAATAGGGATGGCTGGGTTCCACCTGTTTGAAATTGAAATTCTCTAAAACCCTCTGAGCCCCCTGCCTGATCCCCCTCCCCCCCCCCTCCATTGCTGTCCTCGGATGTGCACTGTCCGTTTGTCCGAGTGGTGAGGGTAAATGAGTTTCAGGTGCGCCACACTCTTTCTGGTCTAAGACCAATCCCCATTCTCTGGATTCTGCCCTTCTCTCCTCTCAGGATCAGGCCCCTGCAAAGACTCTGGAATTGGTGTGTTCTACTCACATTATCTTTTAAATTTTGGATCCCAGATGACTAATTTGTACCGAGGCCTCCCCTCCATAAGGATTTTAAATGGTTCTGGGGCAGGGCTTCGGGAGAAGGCTGTCCCTGGGGTTATTGGGGGGAGGGGGGTGCAGTGGGAGCGAGGTTCAGCAGAACCAGCTCTCAGGTACTCTCCAAGTCAGGAGGAGAGGGACTGGGTTGAAGCTGCATCTTTTAAAACAAAAGCCAAACCGAACAAGTTCCCTGACTGAACTAGCTAATGGGATCCTGTTTCACATAGTGACTCGCTCCTGATGCTGCCATCTCCAGGGCTTCTGGCGCAACTTCAGTGGGAAGGACCCCACCTCAGACCCGCCCTGGGGGAGCCTCTGGGAGACCCCGGGACCAGTGCCACTGGCGTCCCTTTCCTTTCTCTTTAATACATGGAACTTCCACTCTTACCGCAGCATTAGGTCGGCTGAAGGTGATCAGTTAGGGCAGCCTAAACTCGGAAAAACGCGACTTCAAACTGTAGCTTATGTGATCTTTAGGTCTAATTCCGTGTGTGGTGGCGCAGGAGCCCCTTCCCCAGTCCTTCTCACTCCTGGCTGTTAAGAAAAGCAAACCGTTCATGCCTGGCTTGGGTACTGCCTCTGGGAGGAGAAATGACATGTTAAGCAATTGATACCAAGAATTCTAAGGCGGCGATTGTCTCTGCCAGTTTTTAACATTAAGATTTCACAAATTGCCTGGGGTAACATTTTGCAAAAGATCTACTGATTACTTTGTAATATTGTTCACACACAAAAATAAATATTTACACAAATTAAAACGTCAGGGAGTGTACTGAGCAGGTGGAGGATGGCTGTGCGGATGGCTGGGTGTGGGAGAGGCCGTGGGCACTGGAGTTTGTGCTGTGCTAAGGGGGAGTCTCGGGTGTCCTGGCCCCGACCAGAGGCCTGGGGATGGGTCAGATGCAAGGCAGAGGTGGTGTGGTGGGATGGGGTGTTGGAGGCCACTTGAGAGATAAAAGACCACCCCAGCCTCTAGGGGCTGGGAGTCAGCACAGGGTGGGACACCCACACTGGAGCGCTCTCCCCACCCCTCCTGAGGGGGGTCTGCCACAGTGCCAGGAGGCAGCTGGCTGCGGAGAAGCTGGTTTGAGAAGGGATACCTACTCTGGGGTCAGGTGGCTCTCAGTAGCCGTCCCAGGGTCCACTCGGCCCTGGCTCCCTGGGGCCTCTTTGCTCTGAGGGAGGAAAGGCAACAGAGGGCTTCTGCCAGCTCTGGGCAGGGGCGGCAGCGGAGGCTGCGGTCATGGCTACGGAGTGTTGCATGGAGAGGCCCGGGGGCCTGCTGAGGTCTGGGCGAATCCCTGGTTTAGCAGCACTGGTAGGTATTGCACTGAGCAAGAGGAAGTGCCTATCGGGAGGAGGGAAACCAGGCCAGCCTTTCCTTGTTGCCCCTTTCACACTCCAGGGATGAGAGGTTTCTTCCAGGACTGGTCCCTCCAGAAGGGCTGGTCTTAGAACCCAATTGGCTACTCCGGTGGATGATGGTCCCTTAATTTCCACCACGGGGGCCGGGGACGGGAGCCAAGCCAGTCCAGGGGCGCCCAGCTGCCTCTCCTGGCCAGTGGCTGCCTGACACCTAGAGGCTCACCCTGAGGAAACAGGGTCTTCCCAGCAAGGGCCTGAGGGTCTGGGTCTGTGCGGGGAGTGTTAACTCAACTCCCTGGGCAGGGTGAGGGCCGGGACTCTGCTGACCGGCCTCCCGTCTCCCAGTCTCCATCCTGTCGTGCAGCCGGGAGGGCCGGGCTTACACCCCAGGCACACACCCCGTGTGGGGGAGTTGGGAGACAGCCATTCAGAGCAGGCTCGGGCACATCCTGGAAAAAGCCCCCGCTGGAGTGTGAGGTAGAATACAGGTGGCCATGGCTGGGGCTTCTGTGAAATGGGGGGAGGGGGGCGTGTGTTTGTCTTTGCTTTGCAGTGGGTGTGGGTGAGGTCCTCCTGCTTGGTGGTGCTGGGCACTCAGAGGGACAGCCCCTGGCGCCTGC